AGAGAGAGAGAGAGAGAGAGAGAGAGAGAGAGAGAGAGAGAGAGAGAGAGAGGGAGAGAGGGGGAGGACAGGTAGAAAGAAGGGGGCACAGACAGAGAGCAAGAGAGACAGAGAGGTAGAGAAAGGAAGAAAGGCAGGAAAATAGAGAAAGAAAGAAAGAAAGAGATAGTAGGCAGAAAAGATATGACACCACCACATCATGAATTACCTTTTCAAACTTTGTAAGAGTTAGCAGCAGCTCCTTCCGGTTCATGTCTGCATAGTCTCCTGTGAAGAAACGAACAAGAAACTACATTATATCATACGGTAGGTAAGATCTACATCTACACTTCTCCGACAACCGGATAAAATCTTGGAGGTCCTGTGTGCAATTTGTGTACATTAAAGATTCCATAGTGATCCAAAATCGATAAGAGTAGGCTTCTGCCGCGACCCAGGCAAAATTCAAAATTTCCTACAAACTGAAAATGTTTGGTGTGTCCCGCCTGCTCATGTGACCTAATGCAGTTGCGAGCGCCGTAAAACAGTTACCAAAAAACCCCAAAACAAAACACAAAAAAACAATTCTGATTAGATGAATGGGAGAGATAAGATGGAATCTACACGGAAAGAAAAAGAAAGGAAGGCCTAAATGTCATTGAAGACCGGATTAAGATTACGACCTAAAGCAGAGGGAATACAGCAGGACAGAAGTGGAGACTATAGCCCAGGACAGAGGTGGAGACTATAGCCCAGGACAGAGGTGGAGACTATAGCCCAGGACAGAGGTGGAGACTATAGCCCAGGACAGAGGTGGAGACTATAGCCCAAGACAGAAGTACAGCGAGAGCTCTTGTTGGTGGCTTTTACTCTGGTATGGGGTGAGAAAGGCTGATGATGAGGATGATGATGATGATGATGATGATGATGGTTATGATGATGATAATGATGATGATGGTGATGATGATGATGACGATGATGATGATGATAATGATGATAACGATGATGATGATGGTGATGACAGCAGCCATTGAAGCAGTTTTGACTGTAGATACGCACAAATAGATAGACAGAAAAGTGAAGGAGACCATTCAAAAATAGAATATTATACTTTGTCTGATCTGCTGTCATCGTCCAAAGACTCGATGTTAATGACGTCTTCTGTCACAAGTTCATGTTGATATCCACTGTTACTTTGTTACAGACTGGGTAAACAGTGACCACTCATCTCACTTACGATTTGTGTATGAGATCTGGGCGGGGCTTATGGGTTATGAGGGATCACACACTTACCTCACCAGCAGCTGAAAGATGTTAGTGACATCAGATCATTAAATGGATGGATATTTTAGTGCATAAATGAATATGCGAATGGAAAAACCCCCAAAAGAGACTCACTCTTGACGTCCAGTTTGGCCTCCGAGTCCTCCAGCGCCCGGTGAAGGTCGTCTTTGAGAGCTTTGTTCTCCACCTGTAATTGCTCGTTGGTCTTGCTCAGGCGAATCACCGTCTCGTTCAAGGCCTTGACCTTGGCGGTCGTGTCGCCACCTCTGAGAGACACAACGAGAGAAGTAAGCAACATCCTTTCTAAAACATTATAGCATGGCAGGAGAACTTTCAACAGCAGCAGGTGATTGTTTGAAAGGCAATGAACATTACTTTAAATTAGAAAACTAGGTCCTACATAAACGCTAGTTGTAACACCTACCACTGACATCTAAGAGGAAGATAAAACAAAGGAGGAGGAGAAGGAGAAGAAGAAGACAAAGAAGAAGAAGAAGGAGGAGGAAGAGGAGGAAGAGGAGGAGGATGAGGAGGAGATAAAGGCGATACTGGTGGAGGTGGAAGTGGAGGAGAAGGAGGAGGAAGAGGAATAAATAAAGAAAAAGTACATCACATTTTTTGCCCACCATTGAGGACTGACCAGTACCCACCTGCTCTTCACCACCCCCGTGTCCCTGGACACACCAAATCTTTCCCCCTTCCTCCCCCTCCCCCCCCACCCCACCAGAGAGAACCGACCACTAAACACCTGCTCTTCTCCCCCCCCCCCCCCACACACAGAACCGACCACTACCCACCTGCTCTTCTCCACCCCCGTGTCCCTGGACATCTGCAGTCGGAGAACCTCGGCGTACATCGCCTCCATCTGAACTCTCATCTCATCCAATTTGGTCGTCTTCAGGTCCGCTTGAAGTTTGCTGTGAAATGTAATAAAACACGATACATTATAACATGTGTGAGGCAGTGTGGTGAAATCAGAGGCTCGTCAAAATAATGAAATTTGAGAAACGGGCATGCTTCTGCCAGTTTCGAAATTTTTATCGAATTTTTATTTTTTTGGCTAAACCTTTTTAAGTCCGTATAAAAACACATTTCCATGTGAATTTTACTGAAAAACGTTGATTAAAAGCAAACATTAAGTCATTTTTCAGGTTTCAAAGACTCTTTAGCTATTGGAGTTACCAAACTTAGTTGGCCATTTTCTCGCTAATTTCACAATTGAAACCAGACTTGACCTCACTTCCTTCAATCGCAAATATCTTGAATCCTGTTCAAGATAAATGATATTTATTTCATTGGAAGCAAGGCAAATACATCAGCTTTTAGAAGATACCAATAACTCCACATGCCCAAAAACTAAAGAGGGCCTGATTCCACCACGTCATGCCACAAATAATGCAGGATATTAGACACCAGGAGCAAACTATTTATCTCTTCAAAGGCAGCATAAGACTAGCATCCCCTCTCCCACCCAATAAATGTGTTCTTCTTAAATAGATTTCTTATATGCCAGTCATTTTCTTATATGCCAGTTATTAAACAAAAATCTTTATTTGTGGAAATTAATAAATTCACCCGTAGGTGAGAGGTAGAACTCTCATTAAATTGAAGATGAATTTCACATTATTTTTTATTGTCCAAATTTTGTCCAAAAAAGGAAATAATTAATTCCACCCAGCCTGACTCTTCCCAGTGACAGAAATATGCAATGTTCGACCCACAATAAGAGATAATCTGTACTTTTTCATTATGGAAACTTTATTTAACAAATAAGTGTTTTATAAGTGGTGATGAGGGCCAATGGCCTTAAACACTGAATAAACTTACTGAGAAGCCAGTCAATAGAGGCGTTTTTAAAAACAAAAATGCTCATGATCAGAATCTATCATTCTAGAATCCCTGGAAAGAGGCTCAAAGGAAGAGTCAATCACAATTTTCTAAACGGCATAACTCCAGCCATCTTGCAATACTTGCAGCTTAGACAAACATAATCTGTCAATATAGGCCATTCACTAGTACAGACCTTTGGTCAAATATTTCAATCCTCTAGTTATGACTGATTATGCAGAGAAAATTCAGCTCTAAAAGTTGACAGTTCCAATCGCCAATGGTGTCAAATCACTTTCTTTTTCCAAAAAAATTATGATAAATTCTTTCCACTAATTTCTTTAGTTTTACACTTATCGAAACTTGCTCTTCCTCAAGCCCCTCTCCTAAATCATCTAGATCTAAACTGTGTTGATAGGGGCATAAAAACATCAACATTTTAAAAAAGAGAAAAAGAAAAGAAAAGAAAAGAAAAGAAAAGAAAAGAAAAGAAAAAAAAAGAAAAGAAAAGAAAAGAAAAGAAAAGAAAAAAAAAGAAAAGAAAAGAAAAGAAAAGAAAAGAAAAAAAAAAGAAAAGAAAAGAAAAAAAAAGAAAAGCAAAGCAGAGACAGATATTGCAGAAGAGTTCAGCACAGTGGGTCGTGAGGTCCTCACTTGTAGGCTCCTTCCTTGTCCCTCAGCTGCTGCTCCAGTTTGAGAATTTTCTGCTTGAGGCTGTGCACCACGGCGCTGGAGTCTGCCTGTCTGTCACCCAACGTGCGCCTCAGCTCTCCGTTCTGTGTATGGTCCAGGGGGGGGGGGGGGGGGAGGAGAAGGGGGTGGGGAGAGAGAAAGGGGTGGGGGAGAGAGGATGAAAGGGAAAACAGAGAAAATTATCAGTACCATGGGTTAACGGGAATTATGTGTTCATTCTGAAACATAATCTTTAACACTTTGCCGTCACATCTCGTTGATCGGCGATGGTTACCACCCAGTTTCTTTGAGTTTTCCCCAAAATGCCTTTGCCTTTGATGGCAAGGGTTTTTACTATATGAGCCTTGTGATGGCAAAGTGTTAATACATGTTGTAATGAGCCAACAAGATGCACTGAATGAAGACCAAGAAGACGAAAACATTCAAGAGGAAGACCAAAAAAAAAGATGTCAAGATGATATCAGAGAGTAGATGGGAACAACCTGGACATGGAAAACAGCTGATAGGACAGAAGGGACATTACCTTTGGAGGGCTAAATCCTGCAGTGGACAGACCGTGCCTAGAAAGAAAAGAAAAATCGACGTGATATCTTACCTTTCCAGGGTTCAGAAGACCTTCAATTTCTTTTTCCTTTTTCGTATTGTCCTCCTCAAGACGGCGAATCTTCGTTTTACTGGTGGCACTGTCATGGTTCAGCGCAGCGATTTGCTGGTGGAATAAAATGAAACACAAGAGAAGTATAAAAGAAGAGAAGAATCACAGAAATTAATGTACAGATTTTTAAAGTTTTAGTAGAGGTTCTACGCCACTCGCAACTGCATAAGGTCATATGAGAGCCAGAAGGCTAGAGGTGTTACAAGAAAGTACTTACTTTACTTTTTTCTTCCGCTTGTACCCTGGGGTGTCGCGGGGAGACACAGGTGTCTGTCTGCAGCAAGTCGTGTGGCCTGTAGGAGGGACATCCCATGATCTTTAAGGGTGTCTGCCACAGATTCACTTCATCGTCGCCTTGGTCTTCCTCTGGCTCTCCATCCAGAATATTTAATGTTGTATGCTCTCAGAGCTGGATGGTTTGAGGTGTCCGAACCACTTGACCTTTTGTTTTTCAATGTGTGGTAGGACTGGTGTTGCTCCCACGGTGTCCCTTATGGCTTCATTTTTAATTTTGTCTCTTCTTGTTTTGTTGACCGCTCTTCTTAAGCATTTCATCTCGCATGTGACCAGTTTCCTCTCTAGGGCTTTTTTTAGAGTCCATGTCTGGCACTGATATGTGAGCGTTGGAAGGAAAATGGCGTTGATGAGCTTCGCCTTGGTGCTCATGGGGATATTGGGATGTTTCAGGAGAGGGCCCAGTTGGTAGCTGACTGCGTTGGCTCTCTGGCATTTAGTCTCTATCTCTCGATCTAATTTTCCCTTTTACAAGAAAGTAACAAACATAAAAAAGAAGAAGGGGAGATAAGGACTATAGATGATAGATAGGAAAGAAGGAGCAAACCTAACCTGAGCACCCGCCAACCACCCACTTGATGTACAGAAAAGTGGGAAGACACGGAATAACATCAAGAGGCTAGCCCGGGACAGAGGAAGGTGGAAGGTGTTTGTCCGTGGCCTATACCCTGGTGCAGGGTGAGAAAGGCAATGATGATGATGATAAAACATTGATGGCAAAAGTCAATGAAATAAAGAAAAACAAAGACAACGCTCTGTTCTCCTCTCCTTGCGTCCATAAAACTATTATTTACTTCGTCATCTTTTTCTTGCCATAGTATAGTGAGGCTACAGGTAAGATTAAAAATAAACAATAAAACAAAAATGAACACATCTGCAAGTTCAATTTCCTTGAAATATATAAGTAACTGAAATAAAACCTTCTTCAAACAAATTTTAAAAACCTACAAGAGATTCTTGTTGCACATATACATGTACCAATTAAACCCCAGCAAATCAGACAAAAGAGGAAAGTCATTCGCACAGTGGGCTGAGATAGTGTGTAGAACCTTGGTCACCTCTTAGATTTTGTAACAGTTTTAAGGCACTTGCAACAAAGAATAAGTCAAATAAATGCAGATGATTAGAAGTGTCACTAGAGAGAAACATACAATGAAAAGACGGAGTACAGATAAGAATGATAGATGTTTGATAGGTAAGGAGTAAACCACAACCAGAGTACCCACCAGCAACCCACCCTTAACCACCGCCAGTGAGCATCCTATTCTTCTATTAGAGCTTCTTGCAGGACCAGAGATGAGAATATTCATGTTGAAGTGCTCAAATACACCTTATAAAAACTATGTCCAGCTTTCTGTGAATATTATCCATATTCCCAAACTTGTGCTTGATAGAACAAAACACACACAGTCGAACCTGTTCTCACTACCGCCTGCCCAAGACAATCACCTGTACAAAAGACCACTTCCCCCTTCCTCTTTGCAGTTTTTCTAAGTTAATATGGCACAGTCCAAAATGTCCACCTTTCTAAGATGTTACGATTGTATCAACGTGAAATTAGGAACATAATGCTAGAGCTAACAGAACAGACGACATTTTATAGGAACTCAGTCACACTGGAAGTTCTTACATCAATTGTGCGAGGATCTAATTAGACTGAGCGATTGTCTTTATGACGCACCGCACTTTACGTACTGAACTTCTCCACAAACATAATAAATCCTCAACATAAGACAACCACTTTTCTCCTCGACAAAGGGCGGCTGTCTGGGACAATTTCGACTGTATTTTGTTTTTAAGACACAGGTGAGTCAGAAGTAGAACCTCTTTCAGTCCTAGAGAAGGGTATGTCTTTCTTTGAGACAAATATATCATTGACTTGCCACCAGCTACAGTCCTGGAAGGTCAGCCGTGAGATAGCTGGCCATTTAAGTGTTCAACAATGCAGTCGAAATTGTCTATAACAGCCTATGTTGTTATCGATCCAATAGCGGCCACCTATACAAGTGACCATTAGAACAGATTGACTATATTTTGAAATACTATCCTAATACCTTTCTTAGACCAAGAATTTCATCATAGTATTCCTCCGGAGACTTGTAGTTGGGTGTGCCAGCGCTCGGTCGGGCTGAAACAATATTGTTACCATTATTGCAAGTATAGTTAGTAACATCATTATATTCATTTTTACCACTGCTATTTAATAGTAATGGTAAAATGAGCATACCTTGCTATTTTCATTGCCATTACCAAAAGTAAACAAAAGTCTGGATGGATGGATGGATGGATGGATGGATGGATGGATGGATGGATGGATGGATGGATTGTTCTGCAGACTGCAAAAAATAGATTGGTGGACTGACATACAGACAAGGGTTTTGAGTTCAGAGGAGCAATTAAAACATGCAAATGTTTTGGGAGAAATGCCAGGTCATGAAATCAAATAAATATAACAATAAGAAAAGATTTCTTCACTGCTGACTACAGAAATTGAATCTCTCTCAAAGTGAGTTCTTATTTTCAATCTCAATGTATTCATTTCTTCTCCCTTTAGAGAATATACTTACGACAACATTTACACTAAATATATCATTACCACCCATTTACAAGTCTCTCTCTCTCTCTCTCTCGTTCTCTCTCTCTCTCTCTCTCTCTCTCTCTCTCTCGCTCTCTCTCTCTCTCTCTCGCTCTCTCTCTCTCTCTCTCTCTCACTCTCTCTCTCTTTCGCCCCTCTGCCCAAATTGGTTTCATTTGCCAAAGCAGAAGCCAAAAATCATCTTTATCCTCATTTTTTCAAAAATGTTCTTTTTGAGAATTATTCACCACCGCAGATGCACTGATCATCATCAGATGGTGACAGACAAACTATCATTAATTCACTTTTACCTTGGGGGCTCTTGTGGCCTAGAGGTTAAGGTGTTGGCCTCTCATTTAAAGTTCCCAGGTTCAAATTCGGGTAGCGACCAGAACATTTTCTTCTCTAAAATTGTCTCCTTTCACCTCCTTTCCTGCTCTCTAGCAATGTTCTGTTGTCTGCTTTTGTCTCCTCTTTCTGCTCCCAGCCCCTCACCTCCTTTGCCCCCTCATCTGGGCTCCTGATTCTTTCTGCAGCCTTTCTACTGCTACTCCTTAGCTCCTTCTGACTGCTGTCTTTCAGCCCCACCCCTGATCTTCTGGTAGGAAAGATCTACACCTAGCCTTCTCAGACAAGGGCGAAAAATCTCGGAGGGCCTGCGTGCAAGTTGCGCACGTTAAAGATCCCTTGGAGGTCTAAAATCGATAAGAGTAGGCTTTGGCCGCCACCTGGGCAAAATTAAAAATTTCCTACCAACTGAAAAAGTTTAATGTGTCCCACGCACTCATATGCAGTTGCGAGCAAAGTAAAACACTTACCAGAAAAAAAACCAACAAAAAAAAAAACACTCACCAGCGGGATCGTCTGACCTCGGTACCCTCTCAGCTCCCATGACCTGTCGTAGATAGTGCGGCGTGCTCATGTACGGGTATTGGCGGTCGTTGGGCCCCTTCAGACCGGTCATGGACTGGCTTTTGTTGGTCTCTGAACTCAGACCTGGGGAGAAAAACAGCAAACCAATTCAGTGGTGGAAATATAGTGGAGATGTTAACGTAATTTACAGATTATTCTGTACAAGTGAAAGTGCACTCCACGGAGATGACAACAGAAACTGATGTTTCCTCCTCCTCCCCTTCCTCTTTAGTTTAGTTTCAGTAGAGGTTTTACGGCGCTCGCAACTGCATAAGGTCATATGAGCGCCAGAAGATTAGAGGTGTTACAAGAGAGTAACAAACATAGAAAAGAAGGAGGGGAGATGAGGACGATAGACATTTGATAGGAAAGGAGAAGCAAACCACACCAGAGCACCCGCCAACCACCAACTCCCATTCCTCTGTTTTTCTTTCTCCTTCTATCTATCTAGTAATCTCCATGTCAATCTGTCAGTCTCTCTCTCTCTCTCTCTCTCTCTCTCTCTCTCTGTGTCTGTCTGTCTGTCTGTCCGTCTGTCTATCTGTCTGTCTGTTTCTCTACCCCTCTCTCTCTTTAACTGTGTGTCATTATAGAAATACTATTATATAATTACCATCAATATCAAAGTCACACAAGTTACTATTATCATTATTTTTATAATCTTCATTATAGGTCAAAGGGCTAGAGCTCAAATGGCCACTGGATCGGAAAAGTAAAGTAAAGTTTATAATCTTCATCATTATTACTTACCGACACCTGTTTTCCTGAGCGTGTCTACGAAGAACTCAGTTGGGGTTTTGCGCCTGGGACTGGCGGCTCTGTATGTGTTCGCTAACGTCACTGTCAAATCAAGGAGGAAGGAAGTGAATAACCTAGCAACTACAGAAGCTTGCTGTGTGTGTTTTCCCAACATACTCTAAGGTATCGAATAACTGGGGGAGGTTGTGATAAATAGGGGGGGGGGGGGTGGACAAGAGGTCCAAAATTAAAAAACGGAGGGGGGTGGGGGGGTGTGTGTGTGTGTGAATAAATGGGGGAGGGGGGGCGGAGGACAACAGGTCCAAAGTTAATAAACAGAGGGAACAAATCTGTTTTATTTCTCCTTCAGTGAATAAAAGAACAAGAGATCATGAAATTTTAGCGATTTTAGTAAGTTATTGTGACAACTTCCCATTTTTAGTTTCATTAAAAAAATATAAACCAATGTACAAAAGTTTTTAAAATGTACAGAAAATTGAGGTAGCCAACCTGGTACCAGTACTAATATTGAAGGTAATTTGCCATTTACAACCAAAAAAAAAGAAGTTTCATTCAGATATCTAGATTCTATATATAATTTTCCACATGATCGTCGGTCGTGGCAAGCTGGAATATAATAAAGGAAGTGTATGGAATAAAGAGCAGGGGCCGCGCAAAAAAATGAAAATTAATAAGCGCAGGGAAGGGGGGGGGGGGACTTATTCGTAGAGTATCAACGATGATAGGAGGATGTCAAGTTCCAGAGAAAAGAAAATGAAATTGATAAAAGATTGAGGACATCCCTTATTTTTAAATATATAACAAAAGAACATAGGAGTAGAAGAACATTGAATAAAAAAAGTCCCCCGAAAATTTCACTGTAAGGGTCTTTAGAGTTTCTGCCTTTCTATGTGTTGAAAGAAAAGAAAAACTTGATGACCAAAATAGTTATTTTTTAATGTGTCTCAAATAATAATAATAATTATAGATAGTACCTGTATAGTCCCACTCAACAGCAAGCTCTATATGCTTTACACTTTACAATCTATATTATTACCCCAGCAGACCTGATAGCATTTTGAAACCATTTCAACTTTCTGGGAAGCATACAGCGCAAGCTGCCATTTTCACAAGAAAAGCCCCCCACAAGTAAAATGCTTACAAGCTTGTCTTTTCTTCAGAGCCGTCATCCACTGCTCATGACCAGTCTTCTTGGATTTCCCTGGCGTAACTGCAATAAGAAAACAAGCCGTCTAAGTAGAGAAACTTGACAGTTGAAAGTTCAGCTTGCGAAAATGGTTTACATAGAAACCTCCAACATCCTGATTTTAGTTTTAGTAGAGGTTTTATGGCGATCGCAAGTGCATAACGTCATATGAGCGCCAGAAGATTAGAAGTGTTACAAGAGAGAAACAAACATTCTTCCTTCCAGCCAAACATCTATCGTCTTTATCTCCCCTCGTTCTTTTTTGTGTTTGTTACTCTCTTGTAACACCTCTAATCTCAGGCACTTATATGACCTTATTGTGTTGCAAGTGCCGTAAAACACTTACTAAAACAAAGAGTCTGACAGGAACAACCCAACATTCCAACTTCATACAACTCTGCAAAACAATCATTAAAAGCAACAACAAACAAGATTGGATGAACAGATGGGCCCTGGCAAAGACAGGCAGAGCAGTTTTCAAACATATGACCACAACAAAACGGAATGACAATATCAACCACCTACAGAGAAAGAAACAGACCATGATCTTCCGCCTACGAACAGAACATATACAGCTCAACTTCCACTTGGAACAGAATAAATCCAGAATTTCCCCCAATGTGTCCCTTGTGCGACTACTCATATGAGACTGTGGAGCATCACCTGTTCCACTGCACAGCCCTAAATGACATCAAAGCTACCCTCCTCCCTCCGAGACCTATCAGTTATAACCTACTATATAGAACATTACAGCAACTGCAGCAAACCTGCACTTATCGCTACATGGCATTGGACAGAAGAGCGAGAGCCCAACTGTTGCTGGATCGATAACAACAACAACAACAACAGCAACAACAACAGCAGAGTCTTGCACTAGGCTGCTAGTATTATCTAACTTACCAGGTCTTCGTGGAGTCTTTCGAGATGGTTTTTTGCCATGGGAACTGACTTGTTGCATCCTGGCTCTGCTCTTGTTCCTCGACACCTGAATTTAAATCAAGAAAATAACAATAAAAACCAAAAAGAAAGTGAATATTACCGTCAGTATTACAAACTATACATTTGAAAAAAATTCTATCCATAATTACAAGCAACAGATCCACGAATACATACATGACAAAGGAAGACAATATACGAAATAAGAATATCAATTCACATAGCAGAGACAAAGATATGAATATAATACATATATAAAGAGGACAAACAACTTGCTTGAAGCATTACTGCATTTACTCTGATATTCACTCCTCCTAAGACAATGCGTCAGATTTGCTTCTTAATTTTGACTCATTTCAACAGGCACAGAAATATAAGATTTTTAAAAAGTGACTTGATGGTTTATCCATAAAGAAATATTTACTCACCAGAGTGTCATCCATGGTCAGCAACGAGCCGCACAGCTATCCTCACCTACGAGGAACAAAAGTTAATAATAGATAGCATTTGTATAGCGCAAATCCCCCCTCAACAGCAAACTCTAGGCGCTTCACAATCTATACTATTACCCCAGCAGACCTGAAAGTATTCTGAAACAAACTTAACTTCCTGGGAAGCATACAGTGCAAACACCCATTTAGAGGCGCTAAAACACGAACATACTGAAAAGAACTTTCGTTGTCTATGGCCGGGTACCCATTTCCACCTGGGTGAAGTGAGGAAAATTCGTGTAAAGTGCCTTTCCCAAGGATACAATGTTGGGCCCGCGGCTCGAACCCCCGACCCCACAACCTCACGATTACGAGTCCGGTAGCCTAACCACTAGGTGCAGGAAAAAGTATTTGAGCTACTCCATGAAGAATGAAACTGCAGTGACACGCGTAACACAGAGATGATGACCTGCTGAACAAAATTTTATGCAGTGATAGAGCCATTGTCTATTTATTTTGTTCGTTTGTTAGAGGCAACTTTCCTCTGACAAAAGAGAAATGCGAAAAAGAAAAAAAAATCTGTGTCACTGTTGAGAATTGTTTCAGTGTGCTGTCATCCCAGTGTAACTTACGTTACTGCAGTTTCACTTTTCATGGAAGGGCCCATAAATTTATGATTTATCTTTTCAATTAGGAGGTACAAAAACAACCCCCGCATAAATCCAAGGGTTGTGAATATCAAATATAGACATAACAGTACAAGTCTACTATTCTATCAATAAAAAAACCCAAATGGTTACTAACTTTCTGTGCTAAAAACCTGTAATGTATAATTATGTGATCCGCTTCTACCCGAAGAATATGACCAGCTCAAAGGAGGATTCAAATCAAGTAGAAAGCAGCATTCAGATTCAAACTGATATCAATTTGCTTTGCCACCAAGGCAAAGAATTATCCCAATCAAGACTTTTTCCGGATGCTCACTAGACCTACTCAGTCCACATCTAAAATTAATGGTTAGAGTAGCCTTCCCACCTTGAATAAGAACAAATCCGTGAACTTGAAAATCTTTTAAAATAAGAGAGAAAATCCAACAAGCAGTTTGGCATGTAGAGGGCGGGGTCGTGTTTCTTATCTACTTTTGCCCTAAATTCTTATCACACAAAATTAAAAGGCTTTTATTGGGATAGGCATATGTAACAGATACACGTCTGAAGCAAAACATAATTTAAACAACTTAAACTAGTTTTGTTTCAATGCTGGGTGATGCTCTACTCTAGCTTTTCATCTCATCTCTGTGGACGTGGAAGCCTATACAGCATCCTAAGAATGGGGAGCCTGTAAGTGCAGATTCAGGTGCAAGTCAAAGTACAGATAAATGTTGACATGCCTTGCGTACTTACAGTTTACTATATCTACATCCATATCATTTTTAAAAGCCAAACAAATCACTTATTAAAGGGATTAGATCTATTAAATCTACAGAATAGACCTTTCAAGTGATATGGATTCAACATGAGGGTGGGTGAGGGTGCCCGTGAGGTGTCAATCACAAGGCTGGAGACTGAAAATGTAGATCTACCGGGTAAATTACAAGTACGAAATCTGCTATGCGTTACAAAGTAACAATAACTGCCCTGCCCAGCCAACTGATCAGAAAGCCAATGAATGGAAATTTTGCTGGTAAATCAACTAGGAATTTACCAATATTCTACCTTTGAAGCAAGTGTTTGTTACCACAAGTAAACCCAAAACATAATTAATGATGAGGGTAAACGTTTCGTCCTTGATTGTAGAGAGCAATCAACCGGTGAAAAGGATTAACCATTACCTGAAGATCGATTCCCAGGTCTCAAGCAAGCTCCTGCCTGATTATTTGCATCGCAACGGAGATATAAACAAATAGTCTCCAACCCGATTGATATGTATAGCGAATATTCTTTCCTGTAAGTATCAATAGATTTACAAATAACTGTACCAAATACTATTTTAGCATTTTAAAATTGTATATATAATTTTTCAGACAAGTGTTCTCGTGATAATAGACATTATTCCGAAATGAATGAGTTTAGAGACTAACAAATTTCTTGTTGAAATGTAAAACTAAAAAGCGCCGGTGCGACAGAAAAGTAGCGGAACAAAATATTGTTTAGAACTGCGAACCACGCATGCTCTACATGCCGAATGTGGTATAATAAGCAGCACACTTTGTGAATGAGGGGACTCATGGCTTTAGAAAAATAATAATAATCTCGTCTCAGCTGTAAGAAAATTACATCATATTCTCTCTTTACACAAAATCTTATACTAATATTGTAATGTAGAATGTAGGATCTTTGCTATACATGTAGGCCAACATAAAAATAAAGAATCGTAACGAGTGCTTTGTTGTGTCATTGTTTATTCCTCGTTTCTAGCGGGTATGAGACAAAACCTTAAAAAAGTTGATACTGTATAATTTGCTGTATTTTATTAAGATCTTTGATTTACCTCCAACAAAAAGTTGGAGCTGCCGGGTATCGATCCCGGTACCTCTCACATGCTAAGCGAGCGCTCTACCACTTGAGCTACAGCCCCGTGCGACTCACCAGCGATCCAGTAGGCTGACATACTAATATCATACTACAGTGTAACTGGTCTACTCACGTGCACATCAAGAGTTTCGAATCTCTCTCTCTCATGTGCGAAACACGAAGAGTGATGACACTTATAGTGATCGACGGCAATTGACAATGATAATGATTTTATTATAATAATGTATACAAAATTAATTAATTACATTATATAATGTATTAATTAATAATAGGCATAATAATAATAATAATAATATAATAATATATTAGTTCTCCCGTCAATGTCTGACGATTATAACCAGTGCCCCCGCGGAGGAGACTGTTGGTCAAGCTAAATAATTATATATATATATATATATATATATATATATATATATATATATATATATATATGTTATATAAGCTTAACAGAAGAATTATTAAAGGTTAAGAAGACTAGGGGTTTCTGTTATGGCCGATGAGATCAATTCTGGCGGCGACAATTTTGACACATTTTGAGCGTTCAGAAGCCCCACTTTCTTTTGTGGACGAGCGCAGCTTGTGGGCTTCTCTCTCGGTTTCAGCATTCCTTATTCATGAAGCCTCTTAATTATGACTTAATTGCTTCCCATTGTGACTGCTGCTCTCCAGCGAGGTCTGTCGATCAGGATTTTGGCTCTCTCATGTCCAAGGATTTACGTTTAAGTCTTTCAGAGACATTTTCAGGCTGTCTTTGTTGCTCTTTTTTTTCTTTCTTTCTTTTTTTTTGGGGGGGGGGGGGGGCTTTTGAGAACTTCTATGTCTGGTATTTTATCCTGCTATTAGGTGCAAAGAATTCTCCTGAGGCATTGGCATGGTTTTAGTACACCGTCCAGGTCTTGTCACTGTATACAACAAGACTTCTGCTCTCCAGCGAGGTCTGTCAAGAGTTTCGTTCTCCCTTGTCCAAGGATTTATATTGAAGTCTTTCAGAGACATTTTTAGGCTGTCTTTGTTACTCTTATTATTTTTATTATTATTATTTTATCATTTTTTAATATTTTTTTTAGAGGGGGTGGGGGTGGGGGGCAACTTAACACTTTCCCGAGGACAGCTCAGAACAGAATACTGTCTTTCCTTTGGGATTCCGAAATCAGACATTCTTACAACATAGCCAGCTCAGCGAAGTTGAGTCTAGTGGGTGGTTTGTGGGTGCTTTAGTGTGGTTAGCTCCTTCTTTCCTATCAGACATCTATCGTCTTTATCTCCCCTCCTTCTTGTTTATGTTTGCTACTCCTTTGTAACACCTCTAATCTTCTGGCTTTAATATGACCTTACGCAGTTGCGAGCGCCGTAAAACCTCTACTAAAACAAAAAAATAAGTTGAGTCCTTTTGATCTTAGAAAACAGACTCTCGTTATATGCCCTTTTGAGAACTTCTGTATCTGGAATTTCATCCTGCCATTTGATGTCAAGAATTCTCCTGAGGCATTTCATAAGGAAATGATCAAGCCTTTTGGCATGGTTTTAGTACACCGTCCAGTGTTTGTTCAGACGATAATTGGTCACAATCTACAACAAAAAAAATACTGCTATAACAAAGGATAATACATGTATTTAGATAGCACGCCCATGTACAAATCCTAAGCCCAGTTAACGTCATTAAGATGGCGCGATATTCGATCTAGTCAAAGAGGTTATAAATAGAACTATTATAACCTCTAAGGTTACTACGTAGAAGAGCTGTATCCTTCTATTCAGTACATGTATAATTATTACAGGTTGATTGTCACTTTATTACAAAAACATCTAATACAGGGTGCCCACTACCGCTGGATCAGGCCGATCGCCCGACTCGATCGCCTGAAACTGAAAACAAATACCGATCGGCCGATCCCAACCGTATAAGAGTTCACGAATCACAAAGAAACGACCAACCACACATTCCACACACTTGTACGTTGATTAGACTGCCAGTAAAGCTCCACCAAACTGACCAGCAGGCCTAAATATCCCTATGCTCTATATCCTGCATAATCGATGCATCTACACAGCAAAGTGGAAGGGCAACAGAGAAGAAACAATTCTCATAGTTCATCAATTCATTTTCTCTTTTTCCATACTGTCTAAAAGATAAGCATCCTTCAAAGTCATTTCATCTAGAAACCGGGGGGG